AATAATAATTACAAAAATAATGCTTTCATATTTTGAATTGATAAATGAGTTTAGCGTTGTATTCTCTACGTGCAAATTAAATAATATACAGCAAGGTTGTTGTATGGAGGTCATTTGACCTAATGAGAGAGTGACGACAAAATACAATCGATATGTTTAGTTTGGACTTTTACTAAGTTGAATCGGTTACTTTAAAGTTTTGACTAATGTCACATTAAGGTATAAATAAGTAATATGAACGAATTTTTATTATATTTAGTATTAAAAGTATTTAATCAAAAACCATACACAATTAAAATAAAAATGTTATATTATTTCTTATTAACTTTGATTTAAATATAATTATAATTGATTTGTTAAAAAAGATGATAACGGATATAATTTTAATAATTTATTTGTAGAGATGAAAGTCCGAAAATAAGTATTGCACCATTGATAAATATTAATGACATTTTAATATTTGAAATATCAACTGGTGTTTGTCAACATTGCCGGAAAATGTTGATAAATTATACGGAAATAACAATTTATTAAATATTGTTATATAGTTTTATAAAAAATATGATTATTTTAATAATAAAAGAATATTACAAATTACTGATTATACATTTGTGTTATGAAAAATTTTAATGGCATCTAAAAGTACAAAAAATTCTATTTTTGACAGTTGCATTTTTTTATAAACACAATGTTTGAATACGAATTTTAAGTATAACATAGAAGATTTCTTGTTTTTTTCTTATCCCTTAGTAGATTAAAGCATTTTAAGTATGTATCTCCCAACATATCTATTGATCGGTACTGAGATAACGACCAAGTCTATCAAATCTATTATGTAATTGTTGAAAATCACCGGTGTATGGCCAAACATAAATCTTCTACAACATATTTTCGCATATTCACCGATGATGTTATTTACAAACATTAAAAATCACTGCGAATGAATATCAATATACACCGATTTCAGACGTTTACAACAACAAAATCAGTGGCGTATTAAGAAAATTTTTTTTTGGCGGCGGGGTTCATACCTAATAGTGAAATAATTTTATAAATTAGTATAAAATGTTCTTTATCAACTTATTGTCAAGGTTTTTATTAACTTATTGAAATCAAACTATTGACAAATTACTATAACAAAATTACAAATTATATTATAAATTCTAGTTTTCGTTTTTTATTTGCCTAATCATCAATAACTTCATCGGTTTGAAAGTCTACATTTTAATGAATAGATAGGCCATCGTAGGGCCATTAAGTATTTTCTGAAATTTTTGAAATTTTTTTTTACTAGCTCCATTTCAGTACTCTTTCAATACCAACTCAACAATTAAATAAAAATAAATTTATGAAATCGATTTAAATTAAACGTATGATGGTATTAATAGTATTTTATATTACTTTATGTTGCGCATAGATGCATAGTGCATACTGACAACCAGGCCCGTATTTAAAAATTTGACGCCTCCGGGCATATAACTTATGCCCCCTCCCCCAATAAATAATAATAATATAACACTTATTATTTCGTCCATAATCGAGATTCTTTAATATTAAAATATAACTTTGTAATTTATAACTAAATGAAAATCGTTTAATACTTTTTTTAATTAATAAATTAAACAAATTATAACATAATAAAACATACAATTTCCTTTTTTTTTTAATTACAATTTAATTATTAGCCATATTAATATTTTTTTTATAGATATATATTTTTTTTCGTTATACTTTAATACTTTAGTGAATAAACAAGCTAAAACTATTATATTACTAATATGTTTAAAATTTGACGTTTTCAAATATTTTTTTGATGGGAGAGAAATCCACAGCACCCCCTCCATAAATACGCCACTGAACAAAATACATATACATAGTAAAATAATCTAAACTTAAAATATATAATATAGATCCATCGAAAGTCCTGTAGAAGTTCGTGATTTTGTATACAAAAATAAAAACATTTTGGTAAAGTAAAAAGTTTAATGGAACATGGGATAAATTTGATTCATTACTATAAAAAATTAATTACGTCAAATTCTACAACTAATTTTAACCGTTCATTTATACATTGAAATATATACATATTATTCAAAGATATATATTATAATTCAGATTCTGCAAACATCAGATTTCAATGCACTCTTAATTTATGAACTTAAAGTTATAACCTTGAGTTTGATTAGTTAGAATATATTCTTATTTAACTTATGAGTGTAGTTTTGTAGCTATAAATTTAAATCAGTAAATCGGTTCGTCATGTTCTAGTTACTTTTACATTGAATTAATTTACTTTGCTTGGATTTATTCCATCATTTATCTTTAATACTACAACAAATAAAGTTAAATGTATGATATATTTAGAAAAATAGGACATATGAAAATATGAAATTATTACATTAAACCAAAATTAGATACACATGTTTCATGTTTAAACTTCAATTATTCAATTTTTCAATTTTTCAAATTTTGATAATTATATTTAAATATAATAGGTAACAACATAGGTATAATGTTTAAACATAATACATATTTAAGGCTTTGAAAAAAAAATCTGTTTTAATTAACCATAATTATTTTATGAAATATGTTATTATTATTATTATTATTATTATTATTATTATTAATTTTGAGTTCTCAATTTTTCTAAGCTGAGGCCCCTTGACAGTGCTGATCACCCCCAGTCAAACTTTTATTTGTTGCACAGTTTGGATGCTGGAATAGTTATAATTCTTTTTGAACACAATTTTTTTATTATGTTATAAGACTATAACATTATGTTCAGTGTCGTATATAGAAAAAACCAGTTATACAATACAATATTATTATATATACTATATTATATAATATAATAATGTAGTAATATAAAAATAATATTTACCTATTTAATATTATATATTAATGAAAACAAACACAGGATGATAATGAAACTATAAATAATTTTAGCTATGATCACTGCTCCGAAAAACTAGCTCACATTGCTGTTGCGATCTCCTCGTATACTTTTAACCAATATTATACAATCAAATAACCTAAAATAGTTTTATTTTGTACTTTTGCAGTTTTGCTAGGCGTCATATTTGTCCAACTTATAATTTAAAACATTGTTCTCATATTTAGTTAAATTATGTCTGAGTTTATAAATAAAACACTTTATTTTACATTTTAATCCTTTCCCTTAGCTTACTTCATTTTAGCTCCTTTTTCATATTATGTTTTTTTCATTTTTGTGACCCTTTAATAATAATTGTAGTTTGTACGAAATGTTTTATAACCTGGGTTCAGATTTTATAGCATTTGCTACTTATTATATGATAAAGATAAAGATAGTAGAGTGAACTATTCATTTGTGTTATTAACCAGAGACTTCAAATTAGAAATTTTATTTTGCTATTTTTTGCATATTTGAAGTATTTTAGATTTTTAGTGTTATTTTTGAAGTTTTATTGATATTTTTTACTAATATACATGATTTTATGCTTTATTTTGTATTTTTCATAAACCTCGTTTATAATGAATGAAAAATAGTATTGATTTAGGTCATAGACGCAAATAGAGTAAAAAAATTGGGGAGGGGCTTCAGCCCCTCACATACACTTTTCAATCACTGCCTCTCAGAAACTTTTTTTCCGCCCTTTACCCTCTATAAAAAATATGCTTATTGGAAGGCAAGTAAAATTTAAAAATAAATAATAAAATAATAATTCACTTTTAAGTATAGATAACAGATTTAATATAGTTTTTTACATTTTATATTCTTATTTTTCTATTTTTTTTAGCAAATGTATTTAAAATAACTTCGGTGTCAACAATAATATCTCTCAATATTAAGTATTGCCAATTTCGAAAACCGTTCCTGTGACATAGTAGATCTGAGATAATTATTAATTCTTCTCATTGCAGAAAATGACCGTTTACAAGTAGCCGAACTAACCGGAAGAGTGATAGACAATTGAATCATTTTAAAAAGATTTGGAAACGTATCTTTAGATATATTTTTTTTTGATGGTTAAATAGTTAGGAACTCCTTTTATCATATTTTTCAAAACACTCATCTCACATTTCAAATCATTAGGGATGAATTCGAACAAATTCTGTAAAGTAAAATACAAATATACAATTTTTAAATGAAATAGGTACTTGAAAAACATTAATTATATAAAAAAAAAACCTTATATTGATTTATAAGTAATGATGATCCCTCAAAGTCTAATTTTAACAAATTATCTGCAGACGTCGCAATTTGAATGCTCTCTTCAGAAAATCTTTCTTTTATTTGACATATTATTGTATTTATTACTGGATAAAAATCATGTATCTTCCAATATTCTTTTGGTTCTAATATAGTAGTACTTGTATTATCACTTTGGTGATTATTTTCAGTTGAAGTTGATGACATAACCACATAATTTTTTAGATTAGTGGACTCCCTTCTCTTCTTTTAGAGCCATTTAAGTTAAATATAAAAAAAAAGATATTATCATATTAAATTTTAAATATTTAATTAATTAACAGTATATAATGTACTGCCAGTGGATAAAAATTTACTCTAGGTTCCTTGAAAAGGAACATTAATTTCAATTCCATTGTCTTTTGAAAATACAACCATTTTTTCCCACAGCTCATTGTAGTGAATAGGAGAACGATAACTTTGTAATGTATCAATTACTCCTTTTATCAAATTTTCAGAATTTCCATGTGTTGCTGATTTTGACTGAAGTTAAATACTTAACAACTTTTAGAATATCATGAAGAGTGAATAAATAAACTACAAATTTAAAATTTGATATTGTAGAAACAATACCTAAAAGAAAAAGCACAATAAAGTCAGTTGCATTGTATGAAACCAATAGTTATTTAATATTTTTCATAACATACCAATTGCTTGGGCAACACATTTACTTTGGTGATTATCAATTTCATTATTTAAAACTTGAGCTATGGCATTAAAATTTGTTATCACTGCGTCACAGCTTTTATAGTGGCAAATCCAACGAGTATCACTTAACTAAGAGAGTTGTCTTTTTCGAATTCAATTTAAGTTGTAAATCAGTAAGCTTCACATTTCTTATTGAATGAGAGAAATGAACATAGAGTGCCTCCAAAGCATTAAATAAGTTTCTAGCATCCTTAAAAAATATATATATAAATACAAATCAAAATAATAGGTAGATAAAATATTAATTATAAATTTTACCTTCTAGTATTTGCACATATCAATAACTACTAAATTAATCTTATGCGCTATACAATGTACATACACTGCACATTTGGCTGGAGGGTGAACTATTTTCAATTTTGCTTGAACATCTCCTATGTGACCTGACATGACTTTGCTCCATCATATGCCTGTCATATAATGTGAATTTTATCTAATTTAGTTGTATTTAAAAATTCAACTAATTTTAAAACCAAAGCGTCTGCAGTTTGCTTTTCTGATACGTTAACAAATCCTAAAAATCGTTCACAGATGTCCATTACATGGGGATATCTTACACAAATACTTAATTGCTCTTGTTTGCGAGAATTAGTAAGAGTAGAAAACTTATTAAATATACATAAACATATTATTAAAAATTAAATTTTTACTTCCAAGATTGAATTTATTATTTACCGAGCCTCATCAAACGAGATAATAAATATTCCACAATCTATAATTTCTTGTTTAATGATAGATTTGACATTTGCAGCACATGTCTCTATCAGTTAATTTTGTATACTCCAACTTGTATAGTTATTGTAACTTGTATAGGTATTTTTATATACATTGCAAAACTCTGGATTATGTTTTGATAAAAATTCATACATTTGTTTAAAATTACCTAGAACAAAAAAAAAAAAAAACAAATTTTAACGATGAAATTCAATTAAATAATTTTAGGGAACATTTTAAATAATATATTAAGTACCCTTATTAACTGATGTCTCATCTTCACGGTGTCCTCTAAACGCTATTCCTTGTCTACCAAGATATAAAACAATATCAATTAAACATTTAATGTACATTATATTTGTTTGTATTTCTTTTTGAATAGCAGTAGACATCTTTGCTATAACATCACCATTTTTCACTGAGTTTTTATAAGCTGACCATCTTAAATTATCAGTCAAGTGGTGGTCAGAAATGTCATGCAATTTTAATTTTGTTTTTCCTGTTTTTGCATCTCTAGTTCCACTCAACTATAATAATAGAAATAAGTAAATATTATTATATAACATATTTTAAAGATAATATTAAACAATTATGATCTATTAATGTATATCAGTGTATTTAAAATGGTTAAGCTTGCCTTTTTCCAATTATTAAAACCTGTTGTTTTTAAAACATCTTCTACGTGACCAGAATTTGTTGAAAACATTCTGCAAGGAAAGCAAAAAATAGCATCTTTCTCTATGCTATATTCAAGCCAGTTATACTCCTTGAAATATTTGGAACAAAAAGATCTATTTTGTGAACCAAGTGTTGTTTCAGGATAAGCCTATATGCAATAAATTTATTATTTTACTTTTGTTATTAAATATTGAAGAAGAAAAAAATTATTTTAAATTCTGATTGGAGCTAAGAAGCTAGTATTCTTACAATTATAAAATTAATTTAACTTACCTTTAAAATAGGTTGCACAGGGCCAGAATCTAAATTACCTAAATCGACAATATCCAACTTATTTCCCTCTTAAGGACTTAATAATGTCGACTAACTTGTCTTATATTCAACTAAACAATTATTTACATCAGGAGACATAGAAACAAAAGTATTAGGAGTTGGAATAGTTGTTTTTGAATAACTAGAGTTATTTTGGCCTTCATTGAATTCTGGTTTTTTTTTTTTTTTTTTTAAATTAAATATCGAAAACATTTTTATTTTACTAACTTTGAATTCAATTACAAAATAGCAAATGTCAAAATATAATCACAAAGCACAATATAACCACAATTGAATGGTCAATGCAGTCTAAGAAATAAAAATAACAAATATGATGGCATATTGTAATGCTTATCTGCTGAGGACGGTCTGGTCGTTTGGTGTTCGAATGTTTAATAGCATCAATACAGTTTTTGTACTCTTCGTAAATGAGCTATTTATAAACCTATACATAATAATATAACGTGATTGTATAACAGCTATACCTAATCGTAATAGTCAATTGCGGCCACTCGCAAAACGACCGAGAATGTAAGCTATAAATATAGTCGGGGATAATATTTTGTTTATTGATAATTATATACTGCGGTGCTATAATAAGCACGGTCTAGACTCTAGACACTAGACTATAGAAATAATAGACATAATATTTAAGAACATGATTTTAATATTGTTACGAAAAAAAGAATAAGAAAAATTTATTCTATTCATTTTTTCAGTAGTAGTCACATATTTTTTTTTTTTTTATCAATATAATAATATAAAGTTCTGTATAGTTTTTGGGAGGCTTTGAATGTTTTTGAGGGGGCTTAGCCCCTCCAGCCCCCCTAATTGCGCCTATGATTTAGGTGAATCCAAAATTCCCACATTTTCGTTTCATATTAATAATTGATAAATTATATTGTATTTACTATTTAACATGTTACTAGAATCTATTTTTAAGTAGCCTGGTGAAATCAAATATATTTATACATTTATGCCCTCTTCTCTGTTTTATTTATTTTTATTTTATTGTTGTTCTACAATATATTGTCGTCTATCGTACGTATTTCATGCTTTCAGTGTCATTTCTCCGTATTGTTAGATTTCGTTTCATATTCGTTTATTACTCAATTGTGTATTATTTGTTTTTATGTTACTTAACGCAAGGCCAAATCTAAAAAAAATTTTCGGGAGGGATCCAAAACATGTATATTGTAATTTTATTGAATTTAGATTTTAACTTTTGACATTTGGTAAAAAAAAGACAGAAAAATATTTAATCTTCTTTTATTAAAATTAATATCATATTTTCATATGATATTATGAAATAAAATTAAAAGCAGTCAATGATTAATTGGAGTTTAAGTCATTTTTGACTGAAAATATTTATGTTGGTATTAAAAATAAATAAATATTTTAAACGTTCATAAAATATTGAAAAAAAGGTCGGGAGAGGGGGTCCAGACACCCTGGACCCCCCTTAAATATGGCCTTGACTTAACGTCAAATGCCAAAAGTTAAAACATCGAAGGATTTGAGACTTAGATATTTTGTGTCTAAGTTTGGTGGCAATGATGTTTTTACGATTGACGCAAGTATTCTATTTTCCAAAATGTGTGAATGTAAAGTTAATAGTGACAAAAAATTTAACGTTAGTCAACACTTAAAAACGGAGAAACAGTTACATACAATGTCATCATTCAAGGTAAAACAGATATACATAAAACAAGACGTACCACATATAAGTTTTTTGTAATTGTTAACAGAAGATGGTCATTTTAGTTTTTTTTATTAATGTATTATAAAAAAAAAAAAATAATTCATAAAATAATATAATACTTTAAATAAAATGTTGACTTAAATTTTATTTTTATTTTTGTTACTATTTTTGTTGTTTTTAGGGCCATATTTATAGAGCATATTTTAAGGTTTTTTTATTCATATTATAGCACATATTTTAGTATTTTCGGTACTATTAAATCTGAACCCTGTTTATAACATAGGTAATAAAAAAATGGATTTAAATATATACTACCTACATCAGTAGATTTCGCTACATCCTACAATACTATTATGCTAATGATGTACTAAAATTTGAGAAATTATTATAAGTCATTACATTCTGTTGTGAACCCGAAATCGAAAAAAAATAATACCGATTTCTGAAACCGAAATTAAAAAAAGTGAATATCGATATTCGAAATCAAAAACGGAATTGCAAAAAATAAATATCAATATTTGAAACCAAAATCGAAATTAATAGAAACTAATATCAATAATCAAAATTGAAATTAAAATCGAAATTTTTTATTTCGATTTCAAGCCCTGGTAAAAATCTATGTGCATAAAATTCAAATACTACTTATTCAATGATCCTTACATCTTTATAACGACAGTATGGATGAACCATAGAGTAATTTATTTCTCTATGGGATGAACTTTAACATTTATCTAGTAGTTAGATAAATACTTTAGATCAGCGGTTTCTTTTTAAGAATATCACTCAAAAATCAAGTTAGATATTAGCAAATACTGAGGAGGGGCCTCACAAAAAATGCTCGTATGCCAGGCTTAACGAACAATTATACCGAACAATGAAACCGTAATGATATTAAGGTCATATATATGTGTCATACAAAGAAATATTATACGAGTACTTTTATATTTTTTGTTTGCACATAATTTCATTCTGTAGAACGAAGACGAATATTTCAATATACGTAATGTTATCACAATATCATTATTATTACATAATTTTATTTTTTAATTCATTTTCATTATGAATCGCCTTGCAGCTAACAGTCGATAGGAGGCTTTTTCAAGAAATACGAGCAAATAATTTCATTTGAGTAGTTTTCGTTTGAATTATATATTGGAGATTACATTGTGTTATTTTAAGTTGGTTGCAAACATTTTTAAATTTTTTCCAACTCATGTGTATGGAGTTTGCATATGCTGCCGAGGTATTGGCGTACAAATATAAAGAAAATAAAAAAATAACAAAAAATATGAAGTAATAATAATAAAAGTATAATAACGACAGAAGTATGGGGTTCAACTACTGTTATGTAACTATTAATCATGTACAAGCTAGAGAGCTTTTTAGAATATTTTTAAGAATTCGTCTGTCCTATTTGTATATTATTTATTTTTTGTATTTCATTTTATTTTAAATTCTAGCCCATTTTAAACAAGAATAAGTAATAAACAAAAAGTAATAACATTGATTTTATTCGTTCTTCAGTCATCTCGTTATCTGAAATATAATAAAAATATGACAGCGTAGCACAAAGCCGCAAAACTCTACATTATTCATAATACGAGATGGATCGAAGCGAAGAATTTATAATTTTACTTACAATGTTGCACTTTTCTGTGATTAAATATTGGATAAAATGTATTTGTTCAAAAATATTATACTATAATGTTACTAATATCCATGATAAGCAACACGTTCAATTAGATATTTAGCATGGAAAATATTTTTGTAAATATTTCCTTTAATATATACAGATAAGTATTTCAAATACTACGAAAATATTATGAAATAACTTCTGCATAAATAATAATTTAAAATAGGCAAATACCTTCATTTATTATACTCGTAGTTAAAGATTAGTTAGGATTTAAATACTGTGTAAATAATTCTAAGCAATTTTATAAACAAAACCAAAAGTTAGTTTTTTTTACCAGCAATTAAAGTTTGAATTTTAATACAAACAGATTTGTTATCAAAAATAGTGATCCTTATGATTTCAGTGTAGTTTTTCTTAAAGAGAAAGTAGATAAAAATTAGTTATTTAACTTTTTATGATTATATGAGATCAAATTTACTCATTATAATATATGAGTAGCGATTATTTATTGTTGATTTTAAAAAGAGTTACAGACTATCGTATTAAAAAACTATACTCAAATAAAATAAAAAATGTTTAAATTCTAAACTTATATTTTGACGAATTTTATTACTACAATAATCATCGAATTTATCACAAAATTTATTGTTATAAAAATCCTCTTCTCAAATAGGTAGAAATATAAATTAATAATTGTAAATATTTAATAGACATAATCAATAAACAAATCATTGGAATATAAATGTTGCCATCGCTGTCCATTTTTCTGAAATCTAAACTCAAAAGATACTTAAGAAGGTTTATTTTACAATTTATTAAAAACAACTAATAACATTTAGAAATAACAAAAATAATATCTTAAAATGTATAAATGTATAACCATTATTTTTTCAATATCAAATATTATTTATCAATAATAAGTATGTAATAATAGTATGGCGTCAGCTGCTGTTAGTCAGCAGTTGTTCGACACTGGATAGTTGTACAAAGATACCATATGACAACGAAAAAAGTTATTGCACCAACAATCTAATTGAGTATAAAATCAAATAAGGTATAATGATAAATCATTGAAAATGTATATTTATTTATATAATATATAATAACAAAAATACAATTTAAATTATGTGAAAGTTCTCGTAAATGAGTAAGTTAAGTCAATATTTTAAAGTATTAATATACATTTTGAAACATAGTTTGAATTTTAAATTAATAGACAGCAATAATAAGCTTGAAAAATATGTAGATTGCAAAACAAAATTTTTTTTAATAAATATGATTTTGATAGCCACATTTAATATAAACTTAATGTATGGTATATACTTAAACACTATTATTTGAGATAAAAATATGCGGAAACTTAATTGAGAGACTTTTAAATATAGAATTTTAACGATAAAATTTTTTGAAAGTTAAAGATACATTATTTAAAATAATTAAATATATATATATATATATATAATTAGTATAATATAATTATATAATGATATAGTCATGATTATAATGTTAGTTGTTAACTAAGTTATTACGTATTATTTTAATCCTTTATTGTATATAGTTGCATATGTGCAACCGAATATATATATATATATCATTTATGAACTAGTTTTTTTAAATTATGTGACAATAAGTCGATTTATTAGATTCTACAGGTATTTTACTATTATTTAGTTTATATTTCATTATTTGTAAATTTTAAATTCACAAACACGTGTCAAATATCATTGGCCAGATGTACTTATTAGATGAATTAATTTAATTATTAATTAGTAACTAGTTTTCATTCATTTTGGATCAATTGATTATTATGAAAATTTCTATTATTATACAGTTACAAAAATAAAGTTAATGTTATCTAAGAAACAAAAACTAGATATTTACATATTTATATATTTTAATAATTCCAAAAATATCTCAAATTTCTTCTATAGCCTGGTATCTATGCAGAATGATCAGCCCATAATAGTATAATAGTATTTTGATTTTATTTTTGATGTAATAGGATTGTAATCAAATTTTAAAAAAACATTTTTATAAAAATCATGAAATTGTACATTCACAGGAAAATTTCAAGGGGATCAATTATGAAATATAAACAATTTTTCTAGTTAAGATGTATCCATCGGTTATATTAATATTCTAATAATTATATGATCGCATTTTAATGAAAATTACAATTATTATCATTTAAAATGTTTTATGTGAGAAAAAAAATAATTAAAATTATTTGAATGACTGCCATGTATTTTTAAATAATAACATATGAAATTCAGCAAATATTTTATTATATTTTTCATATTATTTATATTATTATTAATGAGAATCAAGACGAAAATACAGGATTATAAAATGGTCATTTTTGTGTTTATAATATACGATTATAGGGATAAAAAAATTTAAATATATTTATATACTAGCTAACCCGACAAACGTTGTTTGGTCATATAAATTATTTCTAAAGAATATTTTGCTAGAAAAATAACTAAATTTAATATTAGTGTGTTTGGATGTGGTATATAAATGTAAGATGTATGGAGTTCTATAAACGGTAACGGAATATAAAAATGAAAAAAACATCAAACATTTATTTTTTTTAATAATTTATTAAAATTGATCCTTTAAAATTATATATATCGCTAATTATAACAATATTAGTAAAAAACAATTCAACCCCTTAATGCAACAGAGTGTACAGTATTTTTTGTTATCATATCTTTCGGCAATACAAACAAACTGGATGGTTTGGCCACTTGAGAGCACGCCACGTTAGATCACCACATCACACCACGCCGACGTTTTGTCCGTGTGAAAAACGGACCAGAAAGGAGTAACAGAGTGCCGCCAAATAGTTTGTCATTGTTTTTTAAATCTTTTAATGTCCTGTTCAACGCCTCAACCGAATGTTTGTGTGCCATAGTGCATTCATCCCAGATGATAATTTTACAATGTTTCAGTACTGTGGCCATGGACGATTGTTTTTTTATGTTGCACACTGTGTCTAGATTATTTTGAATATTAAGTGCAGTTTAAATACTGAATGAGCTGTTCTGCCTCTTTTCAATAAAGTTACCGCAATGCCAGATGATACAACAGCCAATGTGATGCCATTATTTGACCGTATTTCGCGGAGAATGATCAAAATAAGTTATGTTTTTCTCGCTCCATCTGGTGCATTAAAAAAAAAGAATCCACCTTGTCCTGCCGAAACTGCAAGCATGATGCGGTCGTAAATTTTTGCTTTGTTCTTCATTCATTAGTGGAACGTTGCGAGCAACAATTGCTGCCATTTCCACAATATTGGATAGTAGTTCACGATTCAATTCAGTGTTTATTAAATCAGATGCATTTCAATTTGGTGAATGCATACCGAAACGTTTGAGTGGTAAGTTAGCAATGATAATGCAAAAATCCTCAATAGCAATCAATGCTTCATTATATATAGCGTCACTGTACACTATCGTTAGATTGTTGCACCGTGTACGATGTTGATGCAATTAATCATCAGTCAATGAATCTTTGTCATTATACCATAATGTCTCTGCTCGAGCCAGGAAACATGTAGTCAACACTATAGTGAATAGTAAACGAATTTGTTTTGCTGTACAGTTCAATCCTGCTTCAGCAAGCATACATTCTCACTGGTTGTTGTCTTCCAGAAAGCCGAGTGCATTATATACATCTTTATACGTTGGATACTGTTGCCCATTCACTTTACGTTTATTTTGAAATGACAATGGACCGGTGACATTAATCAATAACAGTCTAAGATAAAAGCACTCAGTCTGTCTTGGATTGACTGTAAATACTCGCCCCAAGGTGTTTGATTTGAATAAACCGGGACATTCATTAATCGGCGTGCCTTGCTTGCGGAACATCCATTTTTTTGTTGGAGTCCATGTGAAATAGTATGGTACTTCTGAATAGAGTAATGTGAGTGCAAAAGCATCCACACGATTACACAGTTCAAAAAATTCGATGAGGGTAGTTTTTGGTGGATTTATAGCACGATAAATTGCTGTCTCGTTCATGAAATATACACGCCGGCCGTTTTCAAGATGAACGGCTAAATGAAGAACTGCTGGATCCCGTTCATGAAGTGAGAAACCAAAAATATGCCAAAAAGTTTCATTGAAGCTGACGTGCCGGCCAATTTGGTAAAGTGTTATTTCATCGTTGTTATTCAACGGAGGAGGTAATTGCACCTTTCCTGACGAACAACATATCCCAGCTGACTCACTTTTAAATTTAAAAGCATTACAATGAAAACATTCCATAGCACCAATAATTACCACTTTGGAATGAGCATAATATTAAATGTAGGGTTCATACTCGAATGCTAAACGCAGGAATAAATTAGATGTAAATAATCGTTGTCGGTTTTCTTGTTTTCGCTGTCGGTCACTTGCTCCGCGTCTGATAACTGTATAACGGCGTGCTTGCCCTTGTTCTAATCTTCTTTGTTCATTTCGTTCAGCTCGTTTATCTTCTGATGCAGCTTGACGCAGTCGCGCCATGTTCACATGCACATTAGTATTATCTTACTGGATTTAAGCTTCTGTTCTTTGGCCTCTTATATTTCGCATGTACGCAAATCTACGTACTTTACGGCTTAAAGAAGCTCCTATGTATCTTGCTGGAATTATACAAAACTCACAAATAGAAGTAATTCAATTACTTGATAACGAAAAAATTAATAAAACAGAATTTTAATTATTAACACATTCGTGTTAATATTATTCAAGTATAAATTCAATTATTTACTATCTAGTTTCATATAATACCAAAAATAATTAAATCGTTTTTAATCGTTTTTAAATAGTTTTTTAATAGTATCATTGAATAATTAATTTTCAATTGTGCAGTTGTCGACCGGGTCAAAAATTATTAGATTAAACCACGATTTATTAAGTAATAGCACTTAAAGTTTAAAAAATAGATAAGAACCTATTCGCAGACCTACCAAATGTATATACAAAATTTTATTAAAATCAGTCAAGCCGTTTCGAAGGTGTATGGTCACAAACACTGTGACATGAGATTTATATATACTCGTATATAAGATGTATACTTTTCTTACACATTATAAATTAGTTTTCAAGACTATCATATACCCTTTAGTTTCTCCGAAACTATTTAAGTGTATGAGCCGTCGAAAGAAACTATGAGAACACTTTGCAGTAGTAACTATTACCCGGTCGAACATACTCTAATCCATTAATTTCGGTCGACTTGGTATGAAGTTATAGGGTAAAACACGACGTATAAGTAATTATTTAAATCAATTGTATTACTAAATTAGGATACAATGATGCAACGGTTTGACACAGTGATTTTGAGTGAAGGGAGGAAATTCTACTGTCATTAAAATTACATTTAAAAAGAGAGATTGAAAGATAAAACAATATTTTGCTGTATAAACATAAATGCTATACATATACTACAGTTTTCAAAAGTCATTGGGTGCTAAATAAGTTAAATAAATTAAACTAAATAAGCCGTTTGATATTTTTACATGTAGATATTTGTAATCAAACAAATTGTATTGAGTCTAAGTTTCAAGGTTAGGCGAATTTCAGTAAAGAATAATATAGGAAGTAAAATTCAAAAAGATTATTTTAGATGAAACCGAATAGGTACGAACATTTCAAAATTGAGTTCAGTGAGCCAGACAACATTTGTATTATTTTTATGACAATATAACTATTATAAACCATTCATGAAATATCTCCAAAGTACTTCTTTTTTTTTAGTTTGTTAAAGTCTTGAATTTGAGTTTTTCGACATTACGTTGGGCAGAACTATCTCCATCCAATACGGCAATACCGAAAACTCGCTTATTTTCACATAATATTCAACTCCTACGTATGGACCCAAAGAGGAAATTGTAATAATAAGTATACTGCAAAAATATATTAATTCCAGCTGGGGAAAACCATTTTAACCCTCTGTTATTGTTTAAGAACCAAAAGCGACCGGATGACGTATTAAATAAATATTTTGAAAAAAAATGTATGACAGTCGTACTAATATTTAATACTATTTAATACGTGATACAATATGATTTTAGCGGCTTGTTTATCTAACACACACAGTACCACTCCTCTACACTTGTGAGCTCACGAACCGTTAACAAATTAATCACATTAATAAACAAAATATTTCGTGAGGTTTTATAAACTTTATGAACAATGAGCTCACTGGTGGCTTAACACGTCCCTGGTCCCATGAGTAAATAAATTCACATGATGTTTACGATTAGGTCAATACTCGGTAGCCGGTTGTTGTACGAGCGTGTTTACGTTGCAGCCTCGAGTCTGTTTACTTATTGCGTGCGTATACAAAGTACTCGTATAATATTGACGGGGTCACCCGGGATTCACTCCGAAACATGCGCAATGAGTGCGTGTTATCCCCGCTCGGCTCTCGATAAAAGTATTTATGGTCACCGGTACAACAATAAAAGTCGAACGGCCTAACCAGTGCCGGATTAAACATTTGTGAGCCCCTAGGCAATTACAATTTTGGGCCCTACAAAATTATTTTTATATATATCTTTTACATTACTATCCATAATAATAATAATAATAATAAATAATAAATAATCCATAATAATTAAAATAAACAGCTTTAATAACAACTAAATATTATTAATAAATAAAATTTATTTGCAAGAAAAATTAATCTGTTATTATATTATTTCTATTTTTTTCAAAATAATTTTATTACTATCACTGCGTATAACACTTACAACTTAATATATATTTTATATTTCATAATAACGGATCGCTATCATATCTGGATTCCAACGTAGGCACTCTATTTTAATATGCAATATAACTTTTCAACAACGGAATCCACTGGGATCAACTCAAGTTATTTGTTTTCACGGAATTCTGTTTTTTTATTAGAGGCGGAATAAATACATTTTTAATATGACTATATTATAAAATACTATTTACAATAGCTATACAATATACTATCTACAATTTATATCTGAATAAAAGTTGAATTGGATTTATTAATATTGTTAATTGATTATTTTATGACCAATATTTATTAATAATTAATACAAATAATATTAATATAATTATTTAATATTTATTAATCATTATTATGTGTATAATGTTTGCTAATGATATAGTTTTAGTAGGAGAAAATCTGGAAGTTAATATTTATTAACAATAAAATTTTGGATATGTGTACATTTATGACAAGAGTGACAAGACAAGATAGAATTGGAAACAAATATGTGAGAGGTAGTATTGGTGTAACGTAGATAGTGGACAAGATAATAGCACATAGACAGAGATGGTTTGGGCATATGATGAGACGAGAGGAAAAAAAAGTAGTATGAGTGGTTATGAAAATTAATGTTGAAGGGAAACAAGGAAGAGGAAGACCTAAAAAAAGATGGTCAAATACGATTGAGAATGATGTGAGGGCTGTTGGTGTGTGTGTAGAGGATGTAGAAAATCGAGACAAGTGAAGGTTTAGAACAAGAGTGGCCGACTCCAAATAGTTGGGAAAAAAGCCAAGGCGAAGAAGAAGAATTTATTATTTTATGAATATAATCGTAAATTAGGGTTTTAGAATCATAGTATAATAGTGTAATATTAAAAAATAATGTATGTCATTTCTTTTCACCGATCTTAAAAAAAAACGTTTTTTTTTTTTTGTTTCGCGCAAATCTATTTTCAACAATTAATTGCATACTCAACACTATGATGTATCTAATGAATTTAAATTATATAGTATCATTTGTGAGACCAAACCCGGATTATGATAATTTGGAGCCCGGGGTCAAACAATTTTAAGGGCACATAATCAAAATATTGATGACCCACACAAAAAAGTATTTTAGAGACAAAAAAAATTATATTCTGATTTATACATTTATTTCTTGCTTTATTTAGTACAAAAAATTTTAACGTTATTTATATAGGTAAATAATTTTTTCTATATTTTTGGGAAGCAAATCTTTTAATCACATCATCGGTATAAATTACCTCTAAAATATTACTCTCTGAACACAAAACCATAAAATTACATATTATTTTATACTTGTTTTTTATAAGAGCTAAAAAATAATTAAAAAACGAAAAAAAACAACTATTCACCAGGGGCCTACTATTTTTTGACATCCGTTATGGAGCCATAGCCCCCTCTGCCCCCCTTAAACCGGGCTTGAGTGAGACTACTATAATTTGCTGCAGAAAATGCTCCTGGGCTAATATGCATGTTATTGCAACACGAATGAATTATAAAATGTGAATATTTTCTGTTAACGGTGCGGAATTCGATTAGCATCGAAACATTTTTACAAATTAATTGGTGTCGTAAAATACGTTTTAGGAACATATAGGTGTAATACCGTTCAACGGTGCCCCGAGAAAATTCGTCCGTCCTTACAGGTTTCCGCGTTGTAATATACATACAAGACAGTCACATGTTACACAGCGAGCGCAGTACCTGCACGGACGTCGTAACGTAGTAGTAGTAGGTGCTAAACATTGTGTAACCGATCAAATAAGAACGTGTAAAATGTACATTGCGCGAGCGCGAGATACGTACGGGCGCCACAGTTTCGCGAACGACGAGAAGTACACACGTACGTCATATCGTAGGTTAGGTGTACGCAATACGTGTGCGCGCAAAATATTAGTAATAAAACCACGAGAAATTAAAAGAAAAAAATGAAAAAAAAATAATTGCAGACGAAAAAGTACTGTTGAACAGCGGTTCTCAAGCCATGTATTTCGATACACGACACAATAGAGATGCTAAAAAATGGATATTATTTATACATCGAACACACGGTGGACAAAACCAAGAATATAAATCGCTCATATTAAACTACTAATCGCAACTCATAGAAAATTGTGTATCAATGATTTTTTTTTTTTTAATTTATTTATTTATAATTCATCCCCCGGACATGGATAAAAAATAATTAATTAAATGTTTTTTTAAACAAAAAAAAAAAAAGCTTAATATAAATACAATCTTGGAATGTATAAACAATATCGATTTTTTTTTCATTTACGAATACCCTGGTACTTAGTTCGATGAAAGAATATTAAATTGCGAATCTAATTGTATACAATATTACATAGAATCTATATAAATGTAACAACTAATAATAATAATTTAATTTTAATTAATTCAGATGTGCCCGTGAAGCCTCAAGATTACTCTCTCGGAGCCATTAGCCTATAAATATATAGATACCCATTTTTTTTTTTTTTAAGAAACTACGGGACGCACCCTTTAATAATCTTATTTTTTCTCCAATAATACCCGTTAACTGATCGTAAAAATCGTTGACTCCTAAAACCGCACACTTTTGATAAAATACAAAAAAAACTCGCACATTTTTGATAGTTTAAAATCGCACACATTTAATAGGTTAAAAACACACCATTTTTGAAATTGTTTTTTCCAAAAACCGCACACTTTTGATTTCCACCCCAAAATGATTATACTTAACTAGATTAGGTAAACTTAATAATTAATA